TCCTCTGAGCGAATGTGCCACGTCAAAGTGGATACTCTGCAAGGCCCAGGAGCGGACAGCACGGCAGCGCCAGGACAAGACGCTCTGAATGGGACGATAAAGCCGGTGGACGCGGAAAGGGACACCCGGAGAGGGGGACCCCGGATTCTCCTGCGGGACGCCGGCACCTCGGGGACGCCTCAGGCTCCTGCTCCGTCGTCCCAGTGTTCAGACTACCTGTTCAGAGTTATTCTGGTGTACAGTAGTCTGCACATTGGTTAGACTGTGCATGGGAGGGCTCCGTCCGTGTGGGCACTGTCCACCGCCGCAGGGGGGTGGGGGATCATCCACGGGGCATTCATGCTAATAGAGGAGCTGAGATTGTAACACTGGTGCCGCAAAGTGGGGGGGGGGGGGGGGGGGGGGGGGGGGGGGGGTCCCACTCGACCCCTCACCATTTACGTGACTTGAGAGAGGGTGTCAGATTTCACGCTCGGATCTAAACGTCCCGGGAGTGGATGGACGCGGGGCCGCTGCTTCTGAGGGGATCCGCCATGGGGGTGCAGTGACTGCAAAATGGGGGGGCCACGGCACAGGGGGGTGGGCTGTGGCAGGACGTCTGATAAACCAGGGGGTGTTGATGAGGGCGCCCTGCTTTGTCTGCTCAGGTGCAAACAGGTGGACGATTTGGGGGGGGTGGCAGGTACATAGGCCTCTTGGGGGGGGGATTGAGGGCTGGAGGTCCCAACAAAGGCAGGGAGAGCATGGGCTTCTCGGGGGGGTTGGAGACAGGGGGAAGAGAGAGAGGCAGAGAGAGAAAATGATGAAGGGGGCTGAAAGAATGTGCAGGCGGGGGTAGAAATTGGGGAAAAAAAAGATGGCAGGAAGGTGGGGGAAATGGAGGGGGGTGACAGAGAGAGAGTGAGCGTAAGAATGAGAGAGAGAGAGAGAGAGATGGAGTGTGAAGGTGAGCATCATGGGAGGTAGGAGACGTGATGGGAGAGAAGGCAGTGTGATCTGTACGAGGAGACAGATTGAAGCGAAGGGTGAATGTCAGCCAGACTGCTCTGCAAGGCACCTTCGGGGGGCTGCATGTGAGACTGCGTGTGGGGGCTGCATGCGAGACTGTGTGTGGGGGCTGCATGCGAGGCTGCATGTGAGACTGCGCCTGGGGGCTGCATGTGAGGCTGCGTCTGGGGGATGCATGTGAGGCAGCATGTGAGGCTGCGTCTGGAGGCTGCATGTGAGGTAGCGTGTGGGGCTGCATGTGAGGTAGCGTGTGAGGCTGCGTCTGGAGGCTGCATGTGAGGTAGCATGTGGGGCTGCATGTGAGGTAGCGTGTGAGGCTGCGTCTGGAGGCTGCATGTGAGGTAGCGTGTGAGGCTGCGTCTGGGGGCTGCATGTGAGGTAGCGTCTGGGGCTGCATGTGAGGTAGCGTGTGAGGCTGCGTCTGGAGGCTGCATGTGAGGCAGCGTGTGAGGCTGTGTCTGGGGGCTACATGTGAGGCAGCATGTGAGGCTGCGTCTGGAGGCTGCATGTGAGGCAGCGTGTGAGGCTGCGTCTGGGGGCTGCATGTGAAGCAGCGTGTGAGGCAGCGTCTGGGGGCTGCATATGGGGGCTGATGATTCAGCCCGGCATGTGTGAGTGTGTGAGAGAGCACAGTCCAGCATGAGCGTCTCCATGTGACGAGTGAGACCAGGAGAGATTGTGTGATTCAAGGCAGCTCCAAACTGACCTCCCCCCCCGCCCAAATGCCTAAACTCCCAGTGGACCGTGCTGGGGGGCTGATGTATGGCATTGTCTCAGCAGCTGTAAAAATGGCGGGGGGGTGGGGGTTCGGCTGAAGGCCTAGCAGGCGTGATTCCCAGGCGGAGATGCCTCTGCATTTCAGCCGCGGCTGTGCCCAGCAGCGTCGCCCTGGGACCCTGAGCTCACACATATTTGCCCACTGAACCAGGGCAGGTCATCCTGTGGCAAACCTGCCTCGTCGACAGAACACAGCATTTCACCATGACTGGGCTGTCGGGCCACAAGGTGCAGTTGGAACTGGCTGTAAGTTTTCATTGAATCTGGTCATGTACTAAATGCTTTTGCAGCACATCTTACAGGTGAGAATATATAGCCCTTTAATTTGATTCTATGTAAACTCAGAGTAATAAAATAGTAGCAAACTTCACACAGCTAATCTTAACGTGGTGAGAAGGATAATGGTCACTAAGATGTGTGCATTCACCTGAGAGAATCCAGAGAATCCAGTTCCTTGCTTTAGTTGAGCTCTGTAACGTTAGTGGCATTAAGCTGATGGAGCTAACGGACCCGAGCGGAATCTGTGCGAAACGTTAAATCGATAAAAAAAAGTCAGCAAGTCAGCTCTTGTTATATTGAATCAACAATGCAACAGAACAATTTGAGAAATGTTATCCTCTTTAGATAAGTTTCTTGAGGGTTAATAAACAGCCCACACATCTGACAGTAATTTGCATCATTAACCAGCTTAACCAGAAGTTGATACTTGCTTTATAGTCTGAGTTCTTTCTGTAGGTTCTGGAGCTGTTTTGGTGTGAAACGTTGACACAGTTAAATGTAGAGTTCCTTAACCGCTGCGCCACCTTTTGGTCACTGTGGTTTGCACGCAGGGCTGCTGTTGGGGGAGGTGCCACATTGACATGGTTGGTGAGCCATGCATCACATTGAGCAGGGGGGGCGGCACATGTGACTCAACAGAGTTGTCGTGTGTCTGCCTGTCTACACTTGCTGTGCAGAACTCCAGCACCTGTACAGCAGGCACAGACAGGCAGACAGACGGCAGCCAATCACTAAGCTTTCACACACCCACCAGCCTATGTACCTTCATTCCCTCCTCGACCTCCACAGCAGCTTTAGCAAGCCTGATCCTCTGCATATTTCCCATAATGCAGTGCACAGCCAGAAGCTAAGAACTGCCAATCCAGTGTCAGCTCAGGACCCATGTGACAGCGGCAGGTGGAGGACACCACGAGGAACTGCGTGCTAACTCTGCTAGACAATAAACGTGTGACAGCCCATGTTGTTCAGTATGTTTTCTCATGATCCAATTTATTTATATTTACCTATATGTATGTAAGGTGTGCATGTGGCAAATCTACAGTATGCACAGAATGTTTCTATACACAGTCTCTGCAGCATCTCTCACATGAACACACACAGCTGTCCTTAAGGTCACCAGCTAACCAAGACCCTTGTTCCTCGACAGCAGGAACGGAGTACCAAAAGGAAAGGTACACACACCCAGGAAGAACAGGAACATTCCACACACAAATTAACAGCTGGAATTGATGCCACACTGATGTTGCTTCAACATGGCCGCCAGCTCTAAGCTCAGATTCCTGCCTTTCTTCATCATGATCTGAATCATAGCTGTTTATCCATAATGCTTCCATTAGGCACTAAAGGCCAGGGACTGGAGGCCGTTTGGAGTCAGAGGATGTGAACCTTGGGTTGGTAACCCAAGCTGAGCCAGTGAATGAGAGGATTCATCCAGGAGCCTGGGGAGCAGTGAGGCTTAGTGCTTTGAACAGATGCAGAGGTCTCCGACATGCACCATCTCCCGTCAGTGAGTGACAGCTACATCAGTCACACCTCATCATGTGCTTCACCAGCCCAGCACACAACAGTGACTTTGACTTCTCCTTTGGCTTTGTTCTCAATGTCTATGTATTTTAAAGTTAAACAATAAAGTGACTGAAAACGTAACACGTTAAAATGCATGTCATTGGAACATATTTAGTCGCCACCTAGCGGTAGAGCACAGAAGCCAGCGTACCACATCTTTGACATATCACTGGGACAGTAATTGTGATTTCTTGCACTTGCAAAGTAATTAAATCACCTTTCACTGAAATACATCAACGATTTTCCTCTGCTTTATACTATTTAATATGGCCTAACTTTCTGAACCCAGAATGAGCGTCACTAAGAAACTGTCAAATCATTTAACCTTCACATGATTTTATGGACTTTCATTAAAAAAAGACAACAGGAAATGGTTTATATAGTCACTGCAAAAGCATTCAGTACAGAAGACTGATGTGTCAGCATTGTGTGCTTCCAAACTGTCACTGTAAAAAAAAAAAAAAAAACGTTCACATCTTTATCAGTACAGGAAGAGCCAGTCCTATTCTGGCCAGGACAGTCAGCAGTTTTGAGTTATTTTTAATGAATGACAATCTGCAGAAGGTGAGGTACCCTGAAACGGCAGAGGGCACACGGGCCAGGGACCTCAACACTGACCGTGTGGAACATCTCCAGGAGGTTCGAGTCTACAAAGGATGAAGCATCTTTTGGAAAAGCCAGGACACATCACAGAACCCATGAAGTCCTACCACAGACAAGCCAAAAGACGAACGCAAATTCATGCAGGACATATGGGGAGAGGGCCTGGAAGGAACCACCCCCAAGAAAGGGGGGAGGTGAAGGACAGCAAAAAATTTAAATGGCCACATCAGGCACGGAGTAAAGTGGTTGCTGGTAACAAAAGTTCAGGGCATCCTGGTCTAGCCACCCTCAGCCACCACTGAACCACCTCACACTGCAAATCCACTGCTCAGCAGGACAGGAACAGGAGAGAAAGGTGACAGGAAAAGACTGGGAAGGAGAAACTCAAGAACACAATTACCTAAAGTAGCTAGTTTTATCCATACGTCAAAAAAAAAAAAAAAAAAAAAAAGGTTTTACTACTATACCGCTGATCACAAGAATTATACTGACCCTTTACTCTGGCCAGCAACCTGAGGCTTTTGCATAATCAGATACTACAGCGAGATGTTCTAGGTTAAGTGGTGCCCCCTAGCAGCCCATCATGTAATGGCCACTAGGTTTAAGGAGTGTGTTAGTGCACCACCCTACCCACTGAGGCCAATGAGCGGTAGCACTGAGCAGATTTAAATCGATCAAATCTTGTGGAAGAGCAAGTCCTCATTTGTATGGTTCAGAAGAAGTGCCAGAGTCAGCCACGTGAATGAAGAATGTGAACATGCCATAAATGGAGGGTTTTATAAAAATAAACTTTATTGTACAATAAAGTGTGACGCCAACAAGGGGGGGGGGGAAGGAATCTTCAATAAGATGTATGGGTCACACGCAGATCTTTGTTCCTGTAAGGAAGAGAGTTGGGGGGGAGGGGGTTAAGAACCAAGATTCACTGGGGAAGGGGGCACTTTGGCAGTTAAGGGATGCAGTCAGAACTTACATGTCATCAACTACTCAGTGAGAGAGTTCAATAAGGCTCATCACTCATCCCAAACCTCCACTGGAGTGAAGCAGCTTAGACCCAGACAGTGTCTCATACCTGTTGGTTCTCCGAAGAACCTCCGGTCCTTTCTCTCGGCACGGTCCACACTCATCTACTGGCATCACACAGGGCTGGGAGATGCAGCATCTTATGCCACCACCACACTGACAGGAAGGGCATCCAACCTCTGGAGAGAGAGAAGGCACATTAGATCCGAAAACCATATCTGGTCAGCAGACACTAAGCCAGCAAAATCAGAGACTTCATGCATTCTCTGCTGAATTATGTAAATCATACCATAAACCTCAAATAGAAAGAGTGGGACACTCACTGGTCACATCCCCAGCCTCCTGCTATCCACAGCCATGATGGGGGGGAGAGGGGGGAAGAGACCTCAGTTAGTACACTGGTACAGTCAATCAGAACACAGAAATTCCACAGGCCATTTCAGTCCAAAAAGGCTCTTTCATTCTTTTTCAGAGAGATTCCCATTATTTTTTTGGTCATCATGAACAGTTATTTCGAGGTAGACGAAACACCAAGGCAGCCCCAAGTCTGCAGGATTCTCACCTGATGAGTCTGCCGGAGTCAGTTTAAGTCACCAACATCCCTGTGGAAAGACCCAGTCAAGATCGGAACGTACTACACACTTGTGCAGAACACTAGACAGCACAGATACGTCAGCTAGGAGCGAAAGACATGCATGGATCTTCACAGGTTCTCTGCTGAACTATGCAATCATCACTGTATCTGATACTGAGTTAATAGCGCAATTAATGAAAGCCACTCACCATCTGATCACATTCCACCACTGCCCTTGCGGTCACCTGCCGACAAAGGGTGGGATTGAGTGAGTACAGCCACCATACCCAGATTCTAGTTGCATCTCTGGCCCACATTTAGTAACTTGCATTCCTCCAGACTAATACGCTAAAGTTACATAGGAATCAAAAGCCATTTTGCGGCATGGTCAGCATACACGCGATCACGGAAAAAAGGAAATTCATATAAAAACAGATTGTTACCTCTGACATCGTCGCCATTCACAGGACATGTTGACCTGCATCAGCAAGAACGCGAGAGAAAAGATTTAGCGCATATATTTAACCAACAAGCCATTCCTTAAATATGGTATGCCTCAGTTACAGATTTCTCAGAAATCTCTTCTGTCCACTACTCTTATTCAATAAAATCATCACAGGCGTTAATTTCAATGATGCACTTTTCGTGAAGGCCACTGCAAGAAAATGCAACTCACCTTACAGCAGAACACCGATGACAGTAAACGCCACATCTGCAATCTAAAACGGTTAAAAAGGCGTTTAGCTTCACGCTGAACACAACGCAGATAATGATCATCATGCATCATCTACGGATTCACCGTGCCGAGTCAGAAAGGTTGGCAATTCATCAGATTTTCTCAGATGTCCCTACCAACACAAGTATCATCACATTCAGCTGTAAAATACCGCTTACAAACCCAGGTCTCTGCTCACAGTCCATAACTGCTTTATATGTTATGCTATAACTCAGGCCTATACTAGGCCGAGGAGCTTCCCCCCAAAACACGTGTTCATCACTACGGCCGCACGCACAAAAATGCAGCCTAAAACTACCAAAAACGTGCAGCGCTAAGGATTCGAATGCAAGAAAATAGTTTTGAAAAACTCATTAAATGCCGAGTAATACGAAACAAAACGACAGTGCCATGTTTATGGAACCAGCCCAGAAAAATAACACCACATACCTCCAGAAGACTGCGATGAAAGAAGGACGGAGAAGAGCGGGTCTACGGTTTTAATAGCCATTCGCGTTGCATCATGGGAATTATGTGGTTGTGTTGGCGACCATCAGCGCTGTGCAGTTATTTCAGTGTTTTTTGGTCCAGGTTGGTCCTGAAGATAAACAGCCCCAGTCCGGTCATCAAGATAAACGGGAAATAGATCTACAAATACTTTGTGTTCACATCTGCTGAGGATAAAATATATCCTACGTGTGCAATGGGATTCGCTGTCACTTGTGATAGGTATTATGTTCTTAGCTGTCATGGTGCGCAGCTTTCCGGATTTGCAAAAACTCAAATGTGCGATTTAAATTAGAAGCGTATTTTAATTAGTCCAGTTACGTACTCCTTTACGTCCTTAAGGTCTAGAGATGGATAAAAGAGCAATAGACGACCCTACCTCCCCGTTATATTAACTAAATTCTTCACTTTCGCGTAAAAGAGTAATGGTTTATCTATTGCAGGGGTCACCAATCTTTTTGAAACAGCTACTTCACGGTTTGAAACGCCCTCCTAAACTTATCTAAACTTCATGTATAATAAACATGTTTAAAATGCTTTTTTTTAATTTAGATATTGTCATTTTCACATCTATATAAATGCAAATGTGATTAAAGAAGAATAGCAACAGGATAAAATAAAAATTTAGACGCTGCTCACTGGTGAGTTGTGCTATTTTTAGACTCGTCCACTGGCGACTCGTGGTCCTTGGGGGCATCCTGGTGCCCGCGGGCACCATGTGGGTGACCCCTGATCTATCGAGATCTGATGCTGACGTGATTGATTCCGATTTGTGAATATCCTTCATGTTCGTCCTGCATCGTACCGTAATTATTACTAATGCAAAGTGTTGTATTATCACATAAAAACTTGCAGATTCGGAAAGGTACCACATTGTGGGTGTAACTTACGAACTATAACGTGTAACTTCGATCTGCACCCTGCTCAGACCAGCATGGAGAACAGACTCATTGATGGGCTTAGGCATTGACCTTGATTACAGTTTACACCTTGCTTTTAGAAAGCAAGCCCACTGTTTCTGCTTTCAGTAATGTTAGCATGGGGGGGCAGCCAGTTGACCTTGGAACCCCAGAGGATTTTTTTTCTCCATACTTGGGAGTTTTTGGTTCATCTCCTCCATTGACTTCTTTCTCTTTTTCTTTTTCTTTCTTTCTTTCTTTCTTTCTCTTTCTTTCTTTCTTTCTTTCTTTCCTTTCCTTTCCTTTTCCCTGTTTTTGTATTGTTCTCTCTTAATAATATATATCATATATATAATAATATATCATAACACACCCATGTAAAGCACCTTGGAGCAACTATATTGTGAAAGGCACTATATAAAAATAATTTGAATCGTATAACAATTTACTATTCATGACAGACAAATATAACCCAGTGGAAGATTTAATTGTCTGCATCAGTAAACATGACAATACGGTCACCCAAAACATTGTGATGTATAACTGGAGCAAAATAAAGGCAGTTTTTCTCACACATAAACTGTTGCAAGGCCTCTATCAATATCATGTACAAAAACAGAATAAATAAAATTGCTATAGTCATTGCAAAGTGCTTCAGGAGAAGAGGTAAATCCACCTTTGCTGTTAGGGGGAAAAAACAGACTGAGGTTCCACAGTAGGCTATTTCTGAGTTGGGCTCCATGTTATAAAAATGTTTCTCCTTAACTCACCTTTATCTTTAATCACCATGAATCTCCTGACAGGACACAAAGGCTTATGCTTTTGCATAGTATGTACACCATAAGTAGCTGCATAGCCGTATACCCTACGCTGTATACCCTACGCTGTATACCCTACTTGCACCTTCCCAGAAATGTAACTACAGGGGTCATGCTATAACGGAGGGTACATGGCTTCACAGCTACCTATGGCGTAGATTCTACACAGCAGTATAAATCAGCCTTAAGAAAGCAGCACATGGCACCCATACCCTCAGACAGGATATAATTTTCTCAATACATTTCCCCTTGGAACCATTAAGGTAGAAGAGTAGTGAGACCTGTCGGCTTTTAAGGTGATTGTCAGTTCACGTTGTGCGCATGGGACTTCATGTCTGAAACTGCATAGGCCTGATCAAGGGACTCCTAATTCCATTCCACCCAAACAAAGGAAAATAGCTTTTTCTGCACTGACAAGTTATTGCCAGCTGTAGAAACGAACAAAACAAGGCGTTTAATAACCATTTACCACTTGTTAAAACAGTATCCATCTCACAGTGTCTTGGTAAATGTGTCATTTTCCTAACTGTCCTGCCTCGATATCGATGTGCAAAATGATAACAGTAACACGCTGAGCATTGTGGGTAAGCGATGCTCGCAGCCATTCACTCATTGATTATCGCAAAGAAGGAGGGAAGAATTACATAACAGTTGCTAAAGGCGAGCTAGGCAGCTGCCTCTTTGGGCCAGCGAGGGTAGCTACAGAGGCAGTGTCCATGACCGTTGGTTGGTCACCGCTATCCCTGAGATACAGAGCGAACAGCACAGCCCCCCCACCCCCCCACCCCCCACACTAATAGCTGACCTGGTCCCGAAGTACATGGTAGTGTATGACAGTGAGGACAGGCCACATCTATATTTTCTGTGGACTATGGGAGGGGTCTGCAGGAAGCCCTCAGAAGATGCCAATCTCCTGTCCGTTGGCTGCCATGGGAAGGGGATTCTGAGATGATCCTTGGTTTTGTCTTCCGCTCCCTCGGTCTTCCGCTCTCTGTTCCCGCTCTGTCCCCACCACTGGTTGTCAGTGCTTCAACATGGCCATCCGTTTCAGTAGTGGCTCATCATACACCCAACACTCACCATCCTCATGGAAGAGCTGCGGACAGGTTCATGTCAACACAGACATGGGTATTATATCACAGCACGTCCTCAGCATTAAAGCCACTGTCAGTCATCCTCCAGCAGCGGGCTAAATCTAACGATAAAATCAATGCCACTTTTCCACTGCCACCAAGAAACAACCCTTACCGTGAACTGACTGTTTTCAATTGTAAATTATCAAAGCCGCACCACCGCTGACATGGTCCTACATACTAGCTGGGCCAAAAGTGTGACTAAACCAAGCTGGTTGCATCACTATCACCTGACTGGTCGAAATGCACTAAGATATTGGTGATCTGCATCAATATGCATGGATTCTCTGAAGAAGAAAAGGGTATATTCTACATAGTATTCAGTATTAGTAGTATCGTACATCACAATCTTTTGATGCATTCCCAGTAGAAGGTTGGGAATTTGAACATTCCAAACTTTCTACTGAAAGTACTAGAGAACATGTGATTGGAATGAATTCAGAATGCAAAATTAATCAAGCGAATACTAATTCTGTTAGCATTTGATGCTAACATAAGATGGAGATTCTCACAGACACGCTAGCAGAAATTAGCACATAGTAAATCATGATGTATACCGTGTGAACAGTAAATAAGCATTTCTTCAGTGTTATGTTACTGTTGCTCTCCAAACCCGGCAACACCTTTACCGAGTCGACCCTTCTTCAGTGGAAAAACGAAGTGAGCTGGAACCATGTTGTAACTAGTTTCTCTTCGGGGTACAGTTCAGGTACGGCCTGGTTCCTGTATACCAGTGGAAAAGTGCCATAAGAAGAACCCAGTGGCTGGAACACTGAGCTCTGTAGGATCACTGTGATGGACAGCTTCCGCCCATCTCCCTTACCCTCGTCTCCCACTGGATCTCCTTCTCCCTCCGTTCTCGGGCCTCAGCCCTCTGCTTCTCCTCGAGGTGATGTTTGGCCGCTGTGGCAGCATCAATGTCCTTCAGCCTCAGGTTCTTGGTCACGTCCTTCCAGAGGCTGTAGAAGACAGAGAGATGGAGAGATGAACAGTGAGCCCCCCACCGCTCCACCCCATGCCAAAAGGCCAGCAAGGCCACAAAGAGCCCAGATTGGTGCCACATGGAAAGAAAGTGAAACAATAGTGATGAAGATGAGGTTCCCTCACTTTCGAGACTCATATTCCAGCTGGTCCTCCAGCTTCCTGACCTTCTTCTTGATGATGGCCATCCTCTTTGTGTCAATGAATAAGGAATTCTCCTGCATTAAAAGATGACTCTATTTCAGCAGGGAGCCTCTACTCTATACTCTTGACTTGTAGGTTTGTACAAACCTCAGCAGCCAGAACTCACCCCAGAGATCCACTTGGCGTACATGATTCCATTCCACTCTCCTTCAATGGAGCAGAATGACTTCTTGTCATTAGGAGCACTACATCAAGGTGATGAATAAGCATATCTTCAATACAACCATAAAGGGGCAAGTACTCAGCTAAATGCATTAAATTCAATGTTAAAAACCCCATAACACAGTGACACAGTGTCTCTCCAAAGAGTATCACTTACAAGATATCGGCCGTCACCCTGTGCGTCTGACCTCCATAGAAAGGCTTTGTGTGGAACATTATGCTAGCGTTGTACCCAGTCTTGGAACAGGAGATGCTGCATTCCCCTCCCAGCTCCACCCACGGCACGGTCAGGATGGACCTGGAGCAGCAGACAAGATGACTGAGGACCCAAGTCCAGAGGGTTCATGGGGAAGATTATGCATGGTTTGGAAAAGTAGACAGGCGTACCTGCCGTAACCATTGGGAAAGGTAAGGATGTAGTGTTCATCGTGCTCCAAGCAGGACACACAGCCTATAAGGAGACAGGAGAGACACCAGAGTGCTCCCATTAACTAGAAACTGCCCTAGAGGAGCCTGCAGATCTGAGAAATACCCTTTAACTCCTGTGCCGTTACTAAACAAGAAGCCAAGCCTTCCATCCCCGGTCGGTTCTCAAATCTGTTTTCACACCCCTAGGCTCACGTCACAGAAACATGGCACACGCTCATATTTCACTTTCCAAGATCATTTAAAAACAAAAAGCTAAACTATTCAGTACCTTGTCCAATATTGTGGACCCCAACAGACATCCCAAGAAACTTCGACTTGGTCCAGATGTGGGCGTTGAACTGGATTTTTTTGTTGATGCACTCCGCATAGAAAGCTGATACTAGAAGAGGCAGGAGAGCGGCCAGGTAAGATTGGTGCTGTTAGTATCGCTACATGCTACTCTATGATTTCCATGGCTTGCTGGGCCATCATGGCTGAACCACACTCACTAGGGGGATGGTGGGAAACTTGCTCAGCTACGAAGGCCACGCTGTTCTTCCCGCACCATGTCACTGGGCCGTCAGACATGAGCTCCTGAAGGACGCCCAACAGCGACACTCCTCAGTTAGTCATTCACGTACTTTCACAGATTTTTTCCAGCCAATACTGATGTTGAAGGAGAGCGTAGGCTTCAGAAATCAGACTGGAGTTTCTTACAATTGTCTCGTTATGTTACCTCACCCAAAGTTACTCAGATTCCAAGCAAGACCCTATAAGAGGAAACCAGTAAACAAAGAGTTTAGGGTGTATCAGAGGCGCTCCCTCACCCCGGCTGTGGTCTCCTCTCCCTCCGCAGGCTGTTCCCAGTGGCAGAGAAAGATCTCTCCCAGGATGGGGTTGTATGGCTTCTTGGCCACAGAGCCCCTCCGTCCTGCATGGAAGGCTGACAGGTACCACTTGACGACCTGAACCATGCGCTGAGCTGGTTCCGTCTGGTCTGCGATGCTGGCACCGGAAAAGATATTGAAAACACGTTTGCGACACAAGATCCCCAAGGCAGTTTCAGAAGCCATTTGTACTCCATTTCCAAGTTTAAAATTCCTAAGTTGTAACACTGGTTCTTTGAGTTCTTTAAGTTGTCAACAGGTCACTCATCAGCTGTTGAAGTAAGTGGCATACAGCACACTACAAATGCTCTGAGAACAATTTTATGTTTTTGTTGCCGTCTGCCAGCTTCCTACCTAACAAACAAGTCTGGATGGGCAAAGAAATCAGCATACATCTCCAACAAAGACCTTCTCTCCAAAATAAAGGTTGGCAGGACCACCTAGAGTCGAGAAATGAGGACAGGAAGAGAAGCTTAATACTATGACAACAACCAGGGTGTGGCAGAAGTTTGGTCAGCAGAGATGAGAGGGGAAGAGGTTACCTTGGTGAGGTCCATGCCCAGGCGCACCTGGGAGAGTAGGTGCATAATGACGCTCTTGTGTTCCTCAATTGACGCCCCCTCACCCTCGTCGTCACCGTCGTCTTCGCCGTCAAACTGATCTGCCGACATGACACCATTTCTCGTTGCAGTTTGTAGGGATTTAAATGAGTTAGACAATGAAAACCAAAGGCATAGATGATGAACTAATTCAAACGGGGAAACAGGGTGATGTATGTGAAGACCAATAAGCACAGTCAGATTTCACATCCTCATGCCGGCTATAAACCGTGCACTGGAGACGGGAACCCAGCATGCCAAACTGTGAGGAGTACCTGCGTCTGTGGTGCTGCTGGAAATAGAGGAATTGAGGGAGTCGTTGGTGTTTGGCCTTTGTAGACCTGTGTCTGCACCACTGATGGGCAAAGAGACTGGGGTAAGTGAAAAACTATGGGAGGAAAGGCAATAGGAACAATTACAACCTCAATACAATCCCAGCACTACTAAGAGAATCTGCATATTCATTTACGTTCCAACCTCAAAGACTACATATCTACATTTCTATGCATGACAAGGTGTAAGGAGATGGTAGGAGGATGGGACTTCCCCACATGCCAAACTCACACAACACGGCTCCCCGGGGGCGTGTTGGCCTGGTGGAACTCATCAGCGTCGTAGAACTCGTCCTCGCTGCTTGAGTAGGAGAACTCAGGCACCGTGTTAGGGGGCAGTTCCACGCGGCTCGGCAACAGCACGCCGCTGCCAGATGAGGAAAGACGCCCGGCTGTGGCAGAAAGAGCAGGAAGGAGGGATGGATGCTGAAACAGGTGATCGCCACAGACCAGTCGTGCAAACAAAACACACAAAGACATTCCTAAATAGATGAGCAGCACTGAAGACTAAATGACATTAAATACTGTTTGATGACACAATTTTGGCACTGAGGAAGGGCGTAAGAGGAGCCATAATCCATACAGAGGGGCCAACCTCATCATTAGCCAATGATATGTTCTTGAATCATTGAGTGACAGAGGAGGGGCACTCTGAGGGCCAATCAGCTTTCAGCTGAGGCCTGTGCTCCTGTGACTCCGCCCCTGCATTCATCCCTGGTGTGGCGGCCTCTGGTACCTGTGATGTTGGCTGTGGGCGTTTTCATGTTTCCCACCTCCATATCCAAGGAGGATAGCTGCCCGACTGCATGGCCCACGTGGGCGTTGCCTGAGGGGATGGCAGAGACAGGCTGGTGGGCATGGCTCAGTCACACCCCGAACCAGACGGACACTCACAAAAGCCTCTTTGAGGAGACAGATCTGCCACCAGACTTTAGAAACAGGAAACTACAAATCTGGGCACAGTCACCAAAGAAAGTCCTCTGTTGAGAGGCCAGAAACAGTAGTGGGTGGAAATGACACTGATTATGCCAGTAAGGAAAGAAACAAACATAGCTGGCCATATTTAACGTAATAAATTATTGTAACAGAATACAGAATTTCAACTTAATTTCCAGTTTATTTCCATAGCTGATATGCATCCATCTATCTTCCCCAGCTGCTCACCCAGGAAAGGGTCGCAGTGTCCTGATATTTTTAGCCATATGGCTCCATTTTAACAGGCACGTTTATCCAGAGTCAGTGATCAATTTACTCTTTCGCCATTTGCCATGGCTTTGTTGAAGCAAAAAATTAGGGCTTGCAGAGCACCTTTCAGGGGTCCTTGACATATTTTGGTCTTGTGTTAAGCTCCTTGATTATTCTGTTACCAAAATGAGGTTACAGGAGTTTTTTTGCCCTTAGGCTCTCAGCCACAACAAAGACCTCATGCTGAACAAGACCCAGTGTTCCTCAGACCACAGTAGTGACAGAGACAAAACAGATCTGGGGGGGGGGCTTCCCGTATTCAGAACAGCTGTGTCCGGTTTCAACATGAAACTCAAGCTTTGCCCTGTATGGAATCAGATTTGTGTCAATATTATCAAGCAAAACTTTTTTGACATCAAGCAAAATCAAGGCTTTGAGAAGAAAAAAAAGCAAGAAATGTCATCTCAAAAGTAAAATTTATAACTTGCAAACACATGATTTGTCTTTTGATAATGTTTTCCTTTGTTTACGCTGCCAGCTTCCTCGCTTGCGCTCCCTGACTTTTTGTTTACAATTCTGACACAAACTTCTCACGTGGGCGGTTTTTTTCAGGGACGTGTCCCCATTGGCTAATAAGTTTTTGACTGACAGGTCAGTGCCACGGACATTTTTAATTAACAGCGGGACTGGACATTCACTACCCACTAACTAATTTTTACTAGATCCAACAACAAGATTAACAAAGTGTACATGTTGATGGTGTTTGTGCTGCTCTATACATTTTATTGTGCTAAATTAGAAGTAAAGTTAAGCTTTGCTATGTAATTTAGCTTTTACTTAACTATAATTAACATTAGCTAACTTACTAACATTAATTAGGTATAAGGACTGCTAGTTAAGTAGACTTAGTTGTACTGTTTGTGTGTGTGTGTGTGTGTGTGTGTGTGTGTAGGGCTGGGCGATATGACAAAATATTTTATTATGATAATTTTTCCATATCAAACGGTATAAATAATTATCCCTATATAATCCAAGTTATTATTACTTTACTTCAGTGCTCCATTTTTGGTTAAAAATTTTGATACATTGAGATTATAGATTGAGAACCTCAAAAACGGCGACAAATTGAATGGACTGCGATTTTAATAAATTGCACGGAAATAAACTGACTCTCACTGTTCATCTCTGTATAGATATGTAAGTGCATATATATTCAAGTATACTAGAATTCATGTGAAATCACTGTACTCTCCTTAACAGGGGAAAAAAAGTGGAAAATAAGGCTAACGTTACCAAGTTAGCTAACGTTAATTACGTAAAAGCTAAATTACATAGCAAAGCTTATTAAAGCTTAACCATAGCCCTTCATTTAACGCAGTGTTTCCCAATCCAGTCCTTGCGGACCTACAGACAGTCCACGTTCTTGCTCCTTACTGGGAGCTGGGAGGGAGCAAAAATGTGGTCTGTCTGGCAGTGAGCTCGGAGCGAGCAAAAACATGGACAGTCTGTGGGTCCCCAGTGACTAAATTGGGAAACACCGGCTTAATAAAATCCAGCCTGAGGTTGTGGAGAAGCAGCAGCTCAGGAGTGGGGTTGGGGGTGTACCTGTGGGGGCCTCATCCTGCGCAAGCACGTCGCTGACCATCGTCAGCTCCAAGGGGCCAAGGGGATGGACACCATCTACAGGGTTAATGCTGCTCTGCAATGACAGAGGGAAAAGGCAGAATTACGAGAGCAAACACGAGACACTCCATTTTAAACACACTGTCACTCCAGGAGAAGGTGGCAGAATAGTCCGGAGCCAGTTAGCAGCTACCCGGAATCCTCAGAACAATAATATCACCTGACCAGCTCTTTACTTAACCAGTACCCAAGCAGCGACTAATTCACACTCGCATCATGCTACATAATATGCAGAAATAATACCGGTTAACTAAGAAGACCAACATCCAACAGCTTGGTAGTTCTACTACCCCTGTCTCAGGTTAAATCCTCAGTGGATTTCAACAGCTTACTAAACCAGTTTCTGTGGTGCCCCACAGAGATCAAGATCAAGATACTTTGTCACATACATAGTAATACAAGTACAACATGTAGTGAAATGTACCCTGAACGACCCTTAGACTGTGCACTACCACACCACCGTAAACCTCTCAGTCCACAAGCAGATGAGACAGAGCCCGTTTTGGTAAACAACCCTCAAGATGTCTGACTACGTGCAGAGAAAATGATTAGAGTAAGAGGAGAGTAAGAAGGACATAATGAAGTCTGAGTTGGGGCAAATTCTGTATGTGTGGGAAAGAAAGTCTCAAAGACAGCTACAGACAGAAGAAGTAGTGAGGACCAAAGGTCAAAGGGACACGTTTCAGGATGAGAAACCGAGAGCATTAACCTAGCAATAACCAGCAGGGAGCTCATTCAAATTGTTTCGTTAATAAAAATTTGTGATTTGCTCATTTTGTGTGGGGTAGAATTGCTGGTTTTGTTGTAAGGTTCATTTATTCAGCTGTTATTGTTGTAATTTGAAGGAGGTTACTTGATGTGATATGGTATGAATGGGGTAGGACCAAATAAGTTTATACATCTGCCTACTCCTTTTCAAGCAAGGAAATCGAAAGGTGTGATATTATGATGGACAATGTGGAAATGTTTTTATTTGTTGTTTGTTTGAAATAAAATTAATGAAATGAAAAATTAAAAAAGAAGATGCTAATTATCAGCGAGGAGCAACTGGATTGGAGTCACAAAGGGCTCCCAGTATGTCCAGCGTTACAAACTCAGGGAAGTAAGAGAGACAAGAGTGCAGAGAAAATGTAACCTTACATCTGGAGAGACAGGATTTCTCCCAAACAGGTTTTTTCAGAGTATTAGTGGCAGCAGAGGAGGCGATGGGGCCACTGGCGTTCCGAACTTACTGGGAGTCCATTTCAGTTTTCCAATTACTTACTCTGGTTCTTGAAATTTTTTGAAGAAAGTGTTATTTTCAAAGCAGCGATGAGGCTAGTCACAGACGCCGGTGATGATGGGGAACTGCGAACCTGCTGCTGTTTACACACGACTGGCATTTGTACTTGGGAACTAACTGGCACAATTTAACCTTTAAACACATTTCTTTACCTTGGCAATCTGGAGTAGTACAATGCAGTGCTTGATGGATTCTATCATTCCCTGAAAAACACACAACGTCATCACTTTCATCATAATTCAAGGGCTCAGCCGTAAACGGCTGTTTCGTGAACGTGATACTTACACAGGTTGATTGCTTAAGATTTTCAATTTTCTGTGGTTAGAGAAGAACAGAAAAATGGAAAAGGGTTTAGTCATTGTGATGCAGATGTGAGGATTGGCTACCCCAAGGAGACGCCGTAACGCCATTGGCGAATGGGTTCAGCGCTGTAATTCTGTGCTCCCTGCTTGGTGGGGGGTGTCCTCAGGGACACTTGCTTACCTGATGCAATCCACCTTCTCTGCAGTCCTTCACTTTCTCATCAAAAACCTGCAGGAGGAAGGCAGCAAAATCAGGTCTGTCAGGGATACACCAGCCAGCGTCACAACGGCGCAAGTGATGTAAGAGGGGCACCACAGTGAAATCCCCCAGAGGTCACATGCCACAGAAAGCCCTTTCCTGCAGATTAAACAGTTTCGGTGGCCTGGCCGGACCCTTCAACCTGACAGCTGCTAACGATCAGGAAAACATTGGTCATCCAAATAAAGCTCGGCCACCAGGGGGCAGTGTGAAAAACTTAGCCAAGTTGGCATCAACATAAAAAAGATAGCACTTCTCACTTGAGTATTTGCCAATTAAATGTGGACTATTACAACTATACTACAACACACAACATATCGTAATAAAACCAAATATCAAATTTAACTAACTAAAAAGTAATATATCTAAAATGTACAAAAAATTGTGCATACTGTACTAATAATATATAAGGATATTCCCAGCATGCAATGGACACAAGTGCCTGCAAAGGTCCATTAAAATATAAAACTCTTGTCATCAGTGGTTCTCCTCAGTGGCAGGAGCACAGGCAGACTGAGCAGCGCGGTGCAGCACAGGCAGACGGAGGAGCGCGGTGCAGCACAGGCAGACCGAGGAGCGCGATGCAGCACAGGCAGACTGAGCAGCGCGGTGCAGCACAGGCAGACGGGGGAGCGCGGTGCAGCACAGGAAGACCGAGGAGCGTGGTGCAGCACAGGCAGACTGAGCAGCGCGGTGCAGCACAGGCAGACCGGGGAGCGCGGTGCAGCACAGGAAGACCGAGGAGCGTGGTGCAGCACAGGCAGACTGAGCAGCGCGGTGCAGCACAGGCAGACTGAGCAGCGCGGTGCAGCA